AAAAAAAAAAAAAAAAAAAAAAAAAAAAAAAAAAAAAGCCGTGAAGGGGGGAGGGAGGCTTTTTCATTAATGGGCAGTCTAGTGTGGAGGGGACGCAGATTCATGCTCACATATATTTCTTAAACTCATTTACTGCAGGAGGTCATAATATCCAAGATGAAGTAATAATACTGTAATGAGCAGTAGGACTCCCTGAAGCATCTCACTGATCTTCAAACAGATATCATTTCACTTATGGAGCATTATTTATCCAGTTCACATGCGAGCTGAGGCAAAAAAGAAAAAAAAAAAGAAAAAAAAAGTAAAAGAAATTAAGCAGGTCATGCAGACAGCCATCATTAAATAGGTACAAAAGAAAATTAATTATGGATTTGTTTGGAAATTATTTCTTTTATGTTAAAGGTCACCTGCTAATTACAGTTTCACTTAAAATCATGCTAATTTGTGAGCAGATGGCCAACATTTACTCCTTCTTGTTTACGACCCTTATTTCTTTGAGTTCGGTTTCATATGTCACATTTGTTATGAAGAGTTAGCTGATAAACAGACAAGCACTCCTTCAATGCCTTCACATTTTTACATGTTGCAGTAACCTTTATCACATTTTATTGGGTTTATTTTGCAAAATAGCTCAAGCTCAGTGTTGCTTTTACACCAAATTCACCAGGAGGGCCAGTACTTTCTCATAGTGGCACAGAACGAAAGAAGCAACAACAACAACCCCCAAACAATCAGGGCAATATTTCATTGTTTAATACATTTAGTGAGCTAACAAGCCACTTTGGCTCAGAAGCTGCAGGTTGCTCACCTCTAATTTAGCAGATAAAAAGTGTGATCTTATCTCAATACTATAAAAGTGCAACACCTTCATTTCTAATTTATTGTTAAAGTAAAACTGTGAAGGTAAGAAATGAATCTGATCCAAGGGAGCAATTAGCTATGGTTTCTATGCCAGCACATATCATCATAAGACTTTGTTTTAGTATTAAATGTCATGATTTGTGGTTTTGGTGGTGGTGAAGATAGACGCGGTGGACCCAGGTTATGATGAATAATAATAGTTCTACTGAGGAAGTGTACAGAAATCCAGGAAGCACAGGTGAGGTGGGAACAGAGACATAGGTAGACATATGGAGTACACATAGAGTACACATGGAGTACACATGGAGTACACATGGAGTACACATGGAGTACACATGGAGTACAC